TGGTAAGGTGGTGGATGTAGGTAGTGCTTTTGGTTTGGGTTGTATCAGGAAGGTCGGTTTATTAGGTGGTTAGAGAATTGGGGTCAAAGCATAGGGGTGGGTATAGGATGTGAGGTGTGGGGTTAGCCTATGCTTGCTCCTGCAGCTCCTGGATCTGGCCCCTGAAGGCCTGGTGCACCGGGACCACGTGGTCGAACTCGCATGTGCCCAGCCCCACGAACGCCCCGCAGAGCTTGCGCAGCCCGCCCTGCGCCGCCAGGATCTGCTCCCTGTTCTGCGGCAACTCCCGCTGCGCTTTCAGGAGCTGAAGGCCTCGGAGGTGGCGCTCGCCAGCCTCTGCCCGCGGTACTTCAAGCCCAGCCTCTGCGTCCATGCCTGCAGATCTGCCGCTTCCTCCGGTAGCTCGTTGATGACGCAGTCGGCGTCGCCTGGGCCCTCCACTCGCGCAGGCTCCTCATGGCCACCTTGGGGCAGTGGCCCTCCGAGAGCAAATCCACCCTGGGCCTTGCGCAGGTCCCGAGTCCAGAAGTAGCCCGCACGCAGTTGTCCGTCCCATTCCAGCCACCGGGCGAACTCCGGCGCTGTGGAGTCTCGTCGCTCTGCCCGGTACCTGGGCTGGATGCGCTCCGTCTCATCGCAAAGGTGGACGGTCCTCGCATTTGGAAGGCGTGCCCGTCCCAGGCCGTGAAGGCCACGGCCCGTGCCTCTTTCTCCACCGGCTGGTCGCCCATCAGCTGCCCCCTGCAGTTCACGAAGAACATGGGCGCTCCCCGCCAGACGCAGAACTTGCGGATGTCCTTGAGGCTCACGCCGCGCTCCTGCCAGCCCCGCTCACAGATGGTGTCGAAGTCCGAAAGCACCTCCGTCAGAGGGAGCTTCAGCAGCTCCGCCAGCTGCCGGGGGACGCACAGCTTGTCCCACTGCCGCTCGAAGGCGGACTCCAGGATCTCGTCGCCCTTCCAGAGCTGGTACGAGACTTGCGATAGTGCGCCCAGGACCTGCCGCAGGCTGATCTCCACCACGACCCTGTCGTCGACCGCCTGGGTGGTCTGAAAGCTCAGAGTCCACTCCCTGCTATTGTCGAGCAAGTATTGCTCGCCCGAAAGCTCCAGGAGCGTGGAGAAGGCGCCGTCGTCGTCCACGCCCAGCTTGGACAGCGCCGCCTGCTTGACGTTGCGCGCCGCCTGCGCCTCGGACAGGCCGTCGTTCTGCCTCGAGCCCAACGTTCAGGGAGGTGACGGGGAGGTAGTCCTCCCTCTCGAGGGCCTTCCGTTTTTGCGGCGCCCCCGAATGCGGACCGGCGTGTGGGCCAGCCACTCCGTGTACTTGTCCCAGAAGGCCTTCCCGAGCTTTGTCAAATGGTAGTTGCTGTCGGGGGCGAGCGTGCGCACGAGCTTCTTGACGCCGCTGCGCAGCAGGACGTAGTCCGAGGGAGCGGCTGCTCCTCGTCGAACTGCCTGCCCCACGAGCTGGTAGTAGAACTGCCCCGCCCGGGTCAGGGCCCGTTGGGTCGGGACAGCTGCGCCGACTGGCCGCCTCGCCCGCGGAGGGGCAAGAGTTGCCTGCCTAGAGCCGAGATCCTTGGCCTGACCCCCAGCTCCGGCTGCTCTACGAATCTGTTCGCGTTGTTGTGCCCAACTCATTCCAATATCCTTTTCCCTATTCTTCCCGACTTGTTGGTCCGAGCAAAAGTCCGAGCAGCAAAAAAAACTGTGCAGAAACGTCAGGGGGGCACGTGGGGGCCGGGGCTCACAGCTCAAACGAATTTGGCGGCTGCTGTATAAGGGGCCCTGCCGCGAGGGCCGCGCCTGTCCCGGGAGGGCTGGTCTGTCGCCGGCCGCTTCCCTTTTCCTATGCCGCCCGTCAGTCAAACGGGCACGTCGCCGCGGTCGGCTCGCGTTCCCGCGCGTCGCGGACCTCCAGCAGAAGCCCGCGCTGGGGGTTCATCAGCCAGACGTGGCGCAGCTCGCGGAGACGTGGCACTCGCGGCCGACAGATCGCCCGGGTCCTCGATGCGCTGGCCCTCGGCGTCCCAGAAAGAAGCGGACGCGGTCCCAGTTGAGCTTCAGCTTCAGGAAGCTGCTGCCCCGCTGGCTGGTCTTCAGGCAGCTCTGCAGGCGTGCCTCGACCTCGGAGGCCACGAGGAGCTTCCTGAAGATCTTGGGATCGTGCGTGGACTTGGGAGGAGAGCTCCTGGGCCAGCTTCCGCTCCACCTTCTCGAAGTGCTCCCGCGCGGTTTCGTCCGGCTCCACGCAGAGGTTCACCCGCCTGGCGTCGGCATCTCCGTAGGCGGAAGGGTGGCAGATGATGCGCAGCCAGTCGGACGTCCAGACGGGGGGCTTGCCCTCTGCGTCCTTAGGGAGACGAACTTGCCGCCCTTCGTGTTCACCAGCACGTCTCCGAGGGTGGTCGCCAGATTCGCCATGTTGCTCCGGCCACTCGGCGGTCGATCTCCTTTATATTACCCGCCCCCCCAAAAAAAAACATGGACTCGTCATCTACAACGTGGAGCTGGCCTGCCTCATTGCCGGCCTCGTCGCCTTTGCCCGGAGAAAGATGAGGCTCCTGGAGTTGTTCTCCGGGACGGGCTCGATTGGCAGGGCCTTCGCGGCCAAAGGCTGGGAGGTGGTGAGCGTGGACCTGGAGCCGAAGTTCGAGCCCACGCTGTCATCTCCAGTGTGCGCAGCGCGAGCCGGTCGCGGGCCTCGAGGTCGCGGGGCCGCCGGCTGAGGGCCGGGAGTACTCGGTGCAGACCGGGCTCATGTCGAAGCTGCCCAGGGCCGCCTCGTCCCCAGGTGGTGGGCCTTCGAGAACCCGCAGACGGGCCTCCTCAAGACGCGGCCCTTCGTGCAGGGCCTGCGCTACAGCGACGTGTGCTACTGCAAGTACGGCTACCGCTACAAGAAGGCCACCAGGATCTGGCAGAAACTGCCCTGGCGGCCGTCGGAGTCGATGTGCCGCAAGGGGGACCGCTGCGAGGCCTTCGCGGATGGCACCCACCCCGAGGCCGCCCAACGCGGCACCACGAACGGCCGCCGCAACCAGCAGTCCCAGTGGCAGCTGTGCAGCATGCCCCCGCGGCTGTGCGACGAGATCGCGGCCGCAGTGGGCTAGGAAAGATGTGCCTCGAGTTCCGTCAAGCTGTTTCCAAACCCCCACTACACCTCGAAGCAGCCGAGAGATGGCGTGGTGCCGCCGGTGCCCTGCACGGGGATCTTCCTGGGACCCTCGAAGAGCGGCAAGACGGTCGCGATCATCAGCGCGATCCTGGAACAGTATCGCACCGCAGACGGTTCGAGCGTGTTTGAGCGCATCTTTTTGTTTTCGCCGTCGATACACATCGACGACGGCTGGAAGCCCGTCAAGGAGTTCATAGAGAACGAGATGGGCGTGAACACCGACAGGGAGCAGGTCTACTTCGACAAGTGGGACGAGGGAGCACTGCGGACCATCATCGAGCAGCAGAAGAAGATCACGAGGACCTCCAAGCAGCTGGGGCTCAAGAAGCTCTATCAGGTGCTGGTGGTGATAGACGACTACGCCGATCAGCCGGAGACGGCGCCCTGGACACGCTCTTCATCCGCGGGCGCCACATGCAGATCAGCGCCTGGGTCTCCTCGCAGAAGCTGCGGCTCATCAGCGCCGCCGTCCACGTCAACATGCAGTTCATCTGCATCTGGCGGCTCCGGAACCAACTGTTGTACTCCTTTGCCTTTGCCACGTTACCATCGTTCTCCTCCGGCAGGCGTTGGTTTTTCAGCACCGCTTCCGGCCCCAGTGCTCAGACCGGCTTCCTTGTATGCCATCTATCCATCAAACCGCCTCGCGCAGGCTGCATGCCCAAAGGCTCTGCAGGCCTCAGGCTCTGAGTTAAATTTGGCAGACCTTTCCGCAGCCCACGGGGCGTCGCAAATGCACAGCCAAACTTTGGCCAAGCACCCTGTTTTGCCCAAAGTTGCCTCCAACGGCTTTGGCTCCACCCAACCTTTGGGCCAGGCTCTTCGCCCACCTTTGGCCGGCCTTGCTTCAGCCCAACCAGGTGCGGTACTCCAAGAGACGTTGCGCGCCCAAGCTTGGGATTCCATTCTTTT